TTTGCTAAAATAAAATGAATATTCTAGAGCTCAATATTTGAAACATGGTTAAAAACTATATATAGTGAATAAAATTATAATATCCAATGTCTGTAAATTTAGCATAGCACTATTTTGTAAAAATTATCTATAAGAACACCGATTTTATATCTTACTATTCTTTCTTTTTTTTATATAATATATATATATATATATATATATATATGTGTGTGTGTGTGTGTGTGTGTGTGTGTGTGTGTGTGGAAATATACTTTTAAAGTGTGGTATATTTATGGAATAAAGTGCTCAATATCAGAGATAGAGCGTGTGTAAATATAAAAGTAAACATAGAAGTCAACACTTTGGTAGACGCAATCGTCAGGCCACTAGTGTTGTTTTTTTTAGCTGAGAAAAAAAAACAACACTCGTATCCTCACGATTACGTCTACCATGAAACAGCCTGTCGTTTTTCTAAGTGTTGACTCTAATGTTCACTTATATATATATATATATATATATATATATATATATATATATATATATATATATATATATATAATGAAATGGTTGGACAAAGTCCGACAATTATATTAAGATATTTCTTATGTTTATACATTCCTTTTATAGATACAAATATTTTAGTAAATGCTCTGTTTATAATAAACAGTATTAACAAAATTTACCGGCCTGAATGTCCGAGAAGTTCTCATAGAAAATATGCGTCCACCGACAGGAATCGAACCTGTATCCTATCCGTAACCGTCATATAGCCTGACGTGCTTTACCGATTTCGCTACAAAGGAGCGTTTCGGTTAGCTAGGTCGATTTTACTGTTTTTAAACTACAATTCTCCATCATTTTCTCTCGTACATTCATATCTGCTCGATGCGTATCCAAATGTAAATAAATGATGTAACACATAATGAAATGGACAAAGTCCAACAATTATTTTAAGACATTTTTCATGTTTATCTATAAATATTTTTATCTACAAAAAAACGTGATGACTTCAATGTTCACTTTTAAATTTACATATATATATATATTGGGCACATCGAGGCGGTGTAATGGTTAGCAAGCTTGTCTCGCTAGAACAATTACAACTAAGTAATGAGTACGATCCTCACTAGGTGCCCCATACTTTCGGCCTTCTGCCACATCTAAGCTACGCTTGAAAATCACTATATATATAAGCTACGCTTGGAAAATCACTATATATATATATATATATATATATATATATATATATATGTGTGTGTGTGTGTGTGTGTGTGTGTAAAATATATAGAAAATAGGAAAGAACTCGTTTGGTAAATAATCCAAAGTTCTTTAGTATTTTTGTTATCATTTTTAAAAAATATTGCTCGATACAAAAATAGAGCATAAATATAATTATGTATTTAAAAATATGATTTCAACACGCTACATAAGAGTTCTCATGTTTAAAAACAATTATTTGTATTAAATTGAATTAAAGTACTAAGCTTAGTACTTTAATTCAAATAACTATATTGAAGTTTTCGGCTCTTGTTTTGAAACATGAGAACTCTTATGTAGCCTGTTGGAATCATATTTTTAAATAATTATATATATATATATATATATATATATAATATAAATATAAATAAATATATATATATATATATTATTTATATATTATATGCGCAGTTATTTTCAATATCAGATATAGAGCTAACATATTTGGTTGGATAGATGTTTTGTGACCCTATTTTCACGCCCTCGTCAGACAATTGACGATCGCTAAAAGCAACCAATTGAAATATTATGAGTTATTTTATCTTCAGTTTTATTTGCCTATGCTAGACTATGTATAGCATTTGTTTTTCAAAGTTTTGCATCGGTTGTTCGCAAGCATTTTAGAAGACTAGTACAACTCCAATAGTACACAATCATTTGTGTCAGATATGGTTCCTTTTAGTCAAAATTTAGCTGTTTGAAATAGGTTTTCATCACTATTTTTAAAACCTCAAACTTTTTTGCTATGTATTCACTCTGTAGATATCAAAGCAGAGAGCAGTGAAAAAACTTTTTTACACATTTCCTATCATCTTAAGATGACTAGCGTTCCTAGATTTCCTTAGCATTTTTCTTTCACGCTTGACAAATATCTGTGGCTTCCTCTAAACGATTTAAACTGATTGGACATTCGATACGAAAAGCAAATTCCGGTTTCATTTTACTTCTCTCTGTGATTTTCATCCCTGGGGTAAATATAACGGAAAGCCCATTTCTTTACCGCTGCTCACCAACCTTTTTCTCCATTTTTCATTCCCGTCATCCTCTCCCGACACCCACCGAATGATTTGAAAATGACCGAACATGCTTCCGCCATGAGTTCATTCTTCTCCCACTTAAGTGGCTGAATGACTTCCGGTAGAGAGAAATATAACTTCCGGTTGTTCATAAACTAAACGTCATTTCCGTTTGTCATTTTTTTCACAAGCGCTGAATTTCGAACAAATTTTAAAATCATTTTATATATATATATATATATATATATATATATATATATATATATATATATATATATTATATATATTAGGCATATTCCTGACACACATCTTTTTAAAAAAATGTCTGTTATAGATTTCCTTAATCTATCTATCTATCTATGTAGTAGCGTACCTTAGACTATTCCTATCTATCTATCTATCTATCTATCTAGTAGTGTACCTTAGACTATTCTTTCTATCTATCTATCTATCTATCTCAGCATGTTCATCTATCTATTGATCTATCTTTATACGCGTGTTCATGTCTATGTATGTATTGGTTTTCCAAGCATAGCTTAGATGTGGCACAAGGCCGAATGTAGGGGTACCCAGTGAGGATCGAACTCACTACTCAATCATTATTGGTCTAGCGAGACAACCTTGCTAACCATTACGCAGCCTCGAGGTGCCCTTCATTTTTATGTATATATGTATGTCTATATGTATGGCTCTCTATCAGGTATTTGTGGATTTGACGAAGGCTTTCGACACTGTTACCCGGGATACTCTCTGTATAGTACTCAGAAAGGTAGGATATCCACGAAGGTTTATAGAAATGGTCAAGCAGCTGGACAGGAGTTTGAGAGCCGAAGGTTACTTTCAATGGACAAATCTCAGGGGGAAATCCCTATTGACAATGGCCTAAAAGAGGGGGTTATCCTTGCTTTTCTCTTTTTTGCTACTCTATTGCGCACGCTTTCCAAGATTTTGATGACGGCATCAAGTTGAGATTCTGAACTACTGGAGGGATTTTCGATCTGAGAAGGTTCAATGTCAAGTTGAAAAATTTCCAGGCATTGATCAGAGGGTTACTCTACACCGGCGACGCTGTCCTCTTAGCTCATACAGAATCTAGCATGCAACATATTAGGAACCGTTTCTCGCCCGCTCGCCCAGTATTTGCTCTAAAGATAAGCCTGGCAAAACCGAGGTCATGTTTACTCCTGCCCTCGGAGAACCATATATCTAGCCCAACATCTTTTTTTTTAATTGAATAAGATTATTAGTAGTTGAGATGTTTGTTTACCTTGGCAGCACAATTACAAAAGATGACTCAGTGGATGCCGAAATATATCTACGCATCCAGAAGGTCTTTGCGGCATGCATAAAGCCGGAAAGGAAAGTATGGGAAGCTCGTGACTTTACCAACCATGACAAGGTATGTGCGTATAGAGCTTGCTTTCTGACAGCTTAATGTAATGAATATGCATACACCTGGGTTCCCCCTCACAGAAATATGATTGGCTGGTGTCATCCATAAATACAGACTGATGTGGAGGTACATGGATGACGCCTACCACTACGACGAGGACCAGTCCATTACGGTTACCTGCTAGATTTTCCTACCCGGTTACAGTAGTGAACAACCACTTTGCTACTTCGAAAAAATATATCTCTTTCCGGGATATATCACAGATCTTCTATACGCCTCCGAAACTTGGACACAACTCAACAAATATATAAAAATACTTAAGTGGTTCTAGCCTCAGACGCATATTGAATGTCAAATAGGAAAGCAGAATCTTCTGTTATTGATGTCCTAGTCAGAGCCAACTGTCAAGGCATAGAAACTTTTGTAACATCTTCCCAAATGCGTTGGACAGGACACAGAATTCGAATGAAGCATACAAGACTCTCACAATTGTATTATTGTGTGCTGAGTATCGGAAAGCGTCCTCGGCACAAACCAAGAAAAACATAAAAGGACTGTACCAAGAACAACTAAAAAAAGCTGACATTTGGCTTCAACAATTGGGAAGAGATGGCCTAGGTAGACCTGGATGGAGAGGTTAATTAAGAGACGGGTGTTAAATATTCGAATAATACTGTTTGATACACGCTGTCTTCTTATCTCATACAGTAAGCTGGCATGCAACATATTATAAACCGTTTCTCGTCCTCATGCACAGCATTTGATCTTACAATAAGTCTTAAGATAACAAGATTAGGGATAATTGAGAAGTTTGTTTTTTTACCTTGGTAGTACAATTATAAAAGATGGATCATTAGATGCCGAAATACATCTATGCATCCAAAAGGCCTCTGCGGCCTTCGGAAAACTGGAAAGAGTATGGACAGCTCGTGACATTACCAACCATACCAAGGTATGTGTATATAGAGCTCGCATTCTGACAGCTCTTCTATATGCCTTTGAAACTTGGACACTACTCAGCAAACATATAAACATTCTTGAACGTTTCCAGCAGAAATGCTTGAGACGCATATTGAATATCAAATGGGAATGCAGAACTCCTGTTACTAATGACCTCGTCAGATCCAACTGTCAAAGCATAAAGTTTCTTGTAACATCTTCCCAAAGGCGACGAACAGGACACATAATTCGAATGAAGGATAGTAGACACTCACAATTGTTTTATGGTATGCTGAGTATCAGAAATCGTCCTCGGCACAAACCAAGGAAAGGTAAAAGGACTGTATCAAGAACAACTAAAAAAAGCTGGCATTTGACCTCAACAATTGGGAAGAGATGACCCTAGATAGAACTCGATGGAGAGGGCAAATAAGAGACGGGTGTTCACTCTTCGAATAATGCCGTCTGGAACACAAAGAGCAGCGACTTCGAAGAGGTGATAACTATGGACTTGACGAGGGTATCAAGGGCTGGACATGTGGTTTCTGTCAGTGCCTACTTCTTTTAAAGGCTGGGTGAATCATGTGAAGTCATATAAAAAAAATCACCCTTGACATTCCCCAGATACAGAGTGTCACAGCTTGTACGCTATGTGACGATCACAACCAGATTCAGTTCTGAAAAGGCACATGGTGCTGCACAGAAATCAGGCACAGCGGTGTGAATCCACCAAGGTTGTGGCAAGTATATTGTTCGTCTGTCACTTGTGTAACAAAATGCAAGTCCGCATCACTTGTAATGTCTTCCGTTTCATTTCGGCGTCCATAATACCTAAGATAACTTTGAGTCTTCAATTTCATATGTATTATGAATATATGACCCACAAACACGGCATACTCTATTGGAAAAATACAATAAAATTATACAGAAAAAATGGCTAAAAAAGGTAAGTTTTCATTATATATATATATATATATATATATATATATATATATATATATATATATATGTGTGTGTGTGTGTGTGTGTGTGTGTGTGTGTGTGTGTGTGTTTTTATGGTATGCTGAGTATCGAAAAACGTCCTCGGCACAAACCAATGAAAAGATACAAGGACTCTACCAAGAACAACCTAAAAAATCTGGCATTTGACCTCAACAACTGGGAAGAAATGACCCTAGATAGAACTGGATGGAGAGGGCAAATAAGAGGTTGTTGTCAACTCTTTGAAGAATGTTTTCTGAAACACAAACGGTTGAAGCGGCGACATTGAATGACTGATAACCATGGACTTGACGAGGGTATCAAGGGCTGGACATGTGGTTTCTGTCAGCGCATACTTCTTTCAAAGTCTGGCTGGGTGAATCATGTGAAGTCATATAAAGAAAAAAATCACCCTTGACATCCCCCAGACACAGAGTGTCACAGCCTGCATGCTGTGTGACAAGGTATGCACAAACAGCTCCAGACTGAAGAGGCACATGGTGGTGCACAAAAATCAGGCACCTGGCAAGACACCGGGGTCGAGAGAGGTGCGAAGTGGGGAGCGAACAAGATGAGGCGGTCATCAGCTGTAAAGATGTGTTGGATCATCATCATCATAATCTTTCTATCTATCTATCTATCTATCTATCTCATTTTTTCATATGAATTTATCTACCTACATATCTCTCTCTCTATATATTTATCTAGCTATCAATTCATACATCTATCCTAGCTTGTTCATTAGATCGATCTATCTATCTACCTATCTAGCTAGCTCGCTTGCTATCTCACTCTGTTCATATCTATCTATCTATCTATCTATCTATCTATCTATCTATCTATCTATCTATCTATCTATCCCTAAAGATATCTATCTATCTATCTATCTATCTATCTATCTATCTATCTATCTATCTATCCCTAAAGATATCTATCTCAGTATAAACGTATCTATCTATCTATCTATCTATCTATCTATCTATCTATCTATTTCAGCTTATCCGTATGTATCTACCTACCTATTTATATATTTTGATAGCTAGCTACCTCGCTATCAATTTATATATCTAGCCCAGCTTGTTCATTATCTATCTATCTATCTATCTATCTATCTATCTATCTATCTATCTATCACAGCCAGTTCATATTTATCTATGATAAACTAAATACATTTCTCTTTTACTCTATATTTCTATTTTGAATCACTTCATTTTCTTTTTTTTTTATTCTTCTCCCAACCTATTTCCTATCATCCTTATCGCATATATGTAATGTACAGGGAATGTAAGAATGACTTTATTTCTTTTATTAACTTATCTGAGAAATGTCAAAAGAGGCTAGGATTTATCACATCTAATGTACATTTCATGGAAAGTGAGCGAAATTTGTTTTCATCTGTAAGACTATAAGCTTTCAGTATAGTTTAGTGCTGGGATTGAATAGGATGTAAGCACTTCGTGTATCGGCTGATCATCTAAAGATAGGGATGGGCTGGATTGTTGTTCTGAATGAGAATTTTCAGATTTCCGGTATTACTCTCTCTCTCTCTCTCTCTTTCTATCTATCTATCTATCTATCTATCTCAATCCCTGTCTCCCTCAATATCTATATGTCTGTCTATGTACATATTTATCTATCAAAATCTAATCATATCTATCAATATATCTTAGTCTGTCCATACATATTTATCCAACTCAGTCTGTCCATATCTCTACCTCCCTCTCTCTCTATATCTCCCTCTCTCTACATATATATGAAGAAAAATATACGGAAAAAAAAAAAAAAAAATATGCAATTGTGCTGTTTTAATGTTAATATAATATCAACGTCGGAGTTTATCCTAAAACCATCTTCAGGACATATTCATAAAAAATAATAATTAACATTAGACTATATTTAATTCAACATGACAAGACGATGGACATAAGAGTAAGACTAATCAAAACAGACAACTGAAATGTTTCAAGATCAGCGTTCTGTTTCAATGTGATCACGTCGGCGTCACGTGGGCGATGTTGTGAAAAAGTATTCCTAAGATAGAGTATTCTGAATGAAAAATGTTGAATTGAATATAGTCTAATGTTAATTATGTTTTATGAATATGTCCTGAAGATAATCTACTAGACCGAAACGTCCGACGTTGTTGACATTATATTAACATTAAAACAGTATAATTGCATATTATGATTTTTGTTTGTTTTTTTTTATGATTTTTTCTTCATACTGTCGGATCTATATCCATATATTTGCTTATATATATATATATATATATATATATATATATATATATATATATATATATATATATATATATATATAATAAAAGTCTTATTCCATTGGAATCGTAAATACGATCAATTCATCAGACCTACAAATTCAAAATTCAATTTTTGATATATGATTGCATATGTATGTGTATATTTACCACTAATATTATCTATCTATATATCTATCTATCTATCTATCTATCTATATATATATATATATATATATATATATATATATATATATATATATATATATGATATGTGAAAATATATAGAAAATAGGAAGGAACTGGTTAGGTAAATAATCCAAAGTCCCTTAGTATTTTAGTTATTATTTTTTAAAAATAGTGCTCGATACAAAAGTAGAGCATAAAAACTTATATTGTTAAATATAATAGACAATGAATGTCTATTATGTCTGATCAGGAACCGTTCTAAACTTCATATGTTTGCTTTAATTTCGACAAATAAATTATCCAACATTTCAATATTTTTTTTTTTATGAAGCTGCTCTGTGATATGAGCTTTCGTCTGACATGAGCCATCTTCAGGGTGGTTATGTGGACATTTAAACACAGATATTCACCATCAAAGGTGATATTCTATTAGGATGACATAAAAAATTGCTATGCAACGATAACGGTCGCGGAATAACAGACGCACATTGTAAATTCACGATGCGGTTCAAATGACGTCATACCATGTGAGGGACCGAAATATTAACAACAGAACCATATGTCTAGATGCAATGTATGAGTTACGACTAGTTTGAGATGCAATTTTGTTGAGTGTGGGTTGCTTCGTTTTAATGTAGATCTCATCCAATTTCTTTTTACTGTGTGTATGTGTGAGTATAGTTGTGTTATCAACTAATATCTGTCTAATATTATGTTCATGGATATTTTTTCTAAGAAATGTTGTTTAATAGAACTAAGAGCAAAATGGTGACTAGTAAGTCTACGGGAGAGTGTAGTTGTAATAAAATCAATATAGTAGAGACTATGAGGTCAATTGTTTTAACTTGTTTATTATTATTAATTAGTTTAACAATTCTACCTATTATGTTTTTGAGTGTTGTTTCATCATGTTTGTAATTATGGCTTTGGTTACAATAGTGTAAGTTAATAGTGTAATTTTTATTTTGACGTACACTATTATTATTAACATTATCAATTTTGTTTGCGGTATTATTAAGTTTATTGAGATCAATAAGTTTGTTGATCAATGACAGAATTAGGAAATCCATTATTAACAAGTTTTTGTTTAATATTATGTAATTCTTTATAAAATATGGTTTGCGTAGATATTTGTGCGCATTGGATTTAAATCGTTTGTGCAATTCGCTATTATATTTAAGAAGACACGAGTTAATGGTAGTCTGTTCCCTATATAGAGAAGCATTACATTTATGTGTGCTGGAATCAATAAATACATCAAGGAATGGAATTTCTTTTATTGGTATTAAGTTCTGGTATAAATTTGAAGACGGAGTGACTTTCAAATTTGATTTTAAGCTGTGTACCTTGATCAATATTTTTAACTAAAATGAAAATGTCAGCTATGTATCTTACATATAGGAGGTTTATTAGTGTCATTATGTATTTTATTTTCTAATTGAGCCATATAATAAGTAGAGAGAAAGTAAATAATAATAAACAAGCTAAGCTCGTTATATATTATAAAAATTTAAAATAATTTCCTTCTTAAATTGCAAGCACACAGCTTTCCAGCTATTGTTACATAATGGACAGCAATCGGTCGGAGTGCCTCGTGAGCGGAACATTCTGAAACCGATTGATTGCCTTTGTCTGGTTTTTGAATATGCCCAAAACCGAGTGAATTCAAAAGAGTATCTCTAGATTTCTGAGAAGGCGATATGCTTCCCACACCTAGGTTTGAAACCGGCTACGTCGAGATGCGTTTCAATGAGGATTTCAACATTGAGAAATGTTGCTACGAGAAATATTGGTAACAAATATCAGATTCCCGCAGGTGAGAAAAAAATGACGATTGTGAATGAAACACTCAGGGATCGTCGACGAAACACCGGGTTTGAGGTGCTGAATATAACATTAATCAGCTATAAAGTCTGCTATTTGTACTAATCTTACATATACTGGCTAATTAGGTTTATCTTAAGTTTGCTCTGCTTCGTGTATTGAGCACTTTACGTAGTTGCCTTTACTCGTTTTGGGTTTTTTTTTCTTCGGACTCTGAGCTTGAACTCTGGACGATTGTTTTCGCCTTAGTTTCATGTTCTTAGTTCTTTCTTTTTTTATTCCTCATTTTAACTTGGGTACTGGTTTGTTCTACTACAAGTCAAATTACCCAAAGTTTTTCCAAGTGAGTACCACCATTTATATATATATATATATATTGTGTATTTAAGCAGCAATTCTTCTTTCATGCAAGTTTCATTAAATATGACAGTCAATGTGTTCTGTTTTTTATATAATTATTCAAGTGATCTTCTAATTTTTTTTCAGTAGAGGAATTATATAAAAACTGTCCAAATGTTGTCTTTTTCCGAGCGCTTTCGGCTGTACATTTAACCATTTTCAAGGGTGAAATATATTAACTCTTAACAAGAAATAGATTGTTGTATGTATGCATTTATATAACGTTTCATTTTCAAAAAACAGTCAAGATACTGTGTCCATGTTCATATTATTGAATTTTTTTTTATTAATAAGGCTTCCTTTATTTTTAGCCTTTTTTAAAAGGTAGACAATACTATTATATTTTTCTTATCAACAAGTATGTTACAAATAGGGTCCAGTAGGTCTCCATGAGTAAAACTTAATCAAAAGACCTTGTCTGTCATATTTAATGACACTTGCATATATATATATATATATGTGTGTGTGTGTGTGTGTGTGTGTGTGTGTGTGTGTGTGTGTGTGTGCGTATATATAATGGACTCTCCAGTCGTATGAGGATCTGACAACATAATTGATTCAGTTATGAAATTCTGTGCGATAATCTTAAGTGGCACTAGAGGCCCGCTTGTGACTTACAAAGGAGACCGCATATGTAGCAAGAGTGAGGATTGTGGGATGAGATCACTGTTAGATTGTTTGATCTTTTAGATCTTGTTCTCGCTTCTTGAAGACGATTCAGACAAGCTGATTGAAAACTACTGAGTCCACTAAAACACGTTGATCAACATTCTACCCGCTCCAAGGCTAAGCGCTCGAGGGTGTCATGAGGTGTGCGTATACATACATACATATATATATATATATATATATAGATTAATATATATATATATATATATATATATATATATATATATATATATATATAAAAAATAATTAATTATTCCATTTCAATATGAAGCAGGCAAGCTAATATTAGAGCTTTAGAGAGAAGCATAACGCAGGCCCGGCCATTAAATAAGACGTTTTACGAAATGTAAAGGCTAACAAAACGATCGTCAAAACATGTAGCCTGCGCCATGAGGAGACGCTAGCTATAACAACATATAATGATGACACTGACTTATTGAACGGGAGTTCAGAGATCGTGTTCAAGTCTAGACACGTCAAGAAGTTTAGTTTAAGGTAAAATGAACTCGGAAAAAATATTATTTTAGTTATTTTTTTTTTTCTTTCCCACTATAACTTCCAACATCACTTTTGGTGTCAAATGGAAATTGGCGGTCGAAACTGCGTTTCTCTTCAGGTCAGCGTTCATATCCATTTAAAATATTAATTCGCTCTGCAAGTTTGGTTTTCCAACTTGAAATTAAGCACTTTTAATGCATACGATTTTAATAAATATTTCATTGTTTGTTTAGTCTGCCTTATATATATATATATATATACATAGATACATACACACACATATATATATATATATATATAATAAATGAGAAAAAATGTCTGTGTGTCTGTGTGTAAAACTTTTTCAATTAAAGGGGCACAACTCCTCGCTAACATTTAAATATCTCATCTTCAAATGAGACTTACTCATCCAGATATTAGAATTGAATCCTCAGATTGCAAATTTAGCTTTCTGTGAAATTGAAAACAAAATGATGAACTTGGCTCAAAGTTATATCAGTATTCTTGGTTCACCAAATACAACAAAGAAATTTTGGGAGAAACACGATACAACATGAAAGAACTGCGGCAATATGTTCAAAATAATGAGCCCCTGTTGAACCAGGACCAACAGCAAGAGTATCAGAAGGTAATTGATGACATCAGCATAAAAAATGGAGTGACTTTCTTCTTGGATGCAACTAGAGGTACAGGTAACTCTTTTGTAACTAACCTTTTATCTGCAGTGAGACTCCAAAGAAAAGTAACTCTATCAGAAGAATCATGTAGAATTGTTGCT